AGCGACGGCGCCGCCATTGATCTGCCGGCGCACCTCGATGGCGCTAGACGCCACGATAAACGGACGCCCGCACCATCACCACCGACGCCTTCGATCGACAACCTACTAACAGCCATTCGACAACAACTAAGCATTCAGACGTACCGACCACCGCGACGACACAACACACCCATCCAACATCAACTACGACCGCGCCCGCAACCACGACCACGACCGACACAGTGACACCGCTACTACGACGCCAACGTGTTACCACCTCACCGACTTCACGCACCAACCATGCCACCCCACGCGCCATACCGCCACTGTTCGACCCTGCCACCCAATCGTCGTCCTCGTGTGTTCCCTCGTCGTGGGCCTATCTTTGTCCGCGCCAACCGTTGGTTTATCTTGTGATGTCCTTGTCCTTGTCCTAATCGTTTTGTCCTGATTGCCTGAAAAATGTAGTCTTTAATAGTCGTTTTTTCGTGCCAATTTGTGTCCATCGTCCTTGCCAGGTTGTGTGTGCGTTGTTGTTTCTTGTGTGTGCGCTTCTTTTTCTCCTTTTTTGAACTTGCGAATTATATCATTTGTGTGTGCGTCTTTTTGTGTCTTGTGGGTCTTGGTCCGTTTGTCCCGATGATGTTGCTAGCACGCCCACTCTTTCAGAGCGAGTGTGCAACTGAGAATTTGTCTTGTTAATGAAGGATTACTCGATTCTTCGCACCTCGACGGTTTTCGCCTGTTCTTGTGTAGTGCCAGCCTTGTTGTTTTGAGCATATGTGTGAACGTATTGCGTGAGCGGGCAGGCCCTTCGGAAGTTGTTGTCTTCCGGGTGCCTGTCGTTTCCTCGTTGTTGTCCTTGTCATAGCCAGCAATCGCATGTCATCACGTACATTGAAAATCAACATAATTTTTCGAATCGACCTTTTTTTCAGGATCACTTTTCAACGAGGACGAAGCAAAGTCGGCCGAACGAAGCCTAGAGGAAGAAAATCACCCTCTCCACTTCACCATCACGATACTGACATAGATACGAGATGAAACAAATAAAAAATCCACAAGAAAACTGTACGACCATCATCGCGCTGACTTTGGTCTGACTTTGGTCTGAGAATTTCTATCACGATCAAAAATGTACGAGGAGCACTCAAAAATAAGCAACAGACGTACCTCTATCGCTCTCTACTCCTTTTTCAAGGCACAAAAGTCGACTCTCCACTTTCAAACCAGGAACCAGACATACCAGTGGTCATTTTCAGCTGCTCCACGAGCGCAGGAAATGTTCACCAAGGGGCGCAGAGCAGCATCCATTCCAGAAAAAGAGCTAAAATACGAGTGAGACTGCATGCCTGAGTACATGAGTACATGTATGAGTACATGCAGAAAATAGTCAATTTCAGCGTTTCTGCTCCAAACAGCAACTAGCTTCGACTAGAAACAAAGATTACACCAAAGGATCAAACAACAACCATTTTCTGCAGTTTTTTTGCAGATGGCTTCCTTGTGCTTGGCCCAGCACGCCAAAAATCACACCTCGGAGGAGTACAAAAATTACAACTCTCAGATGTCCTCGATTGCTGGCCATGCGTTCTTCTTAGATCACCTCGCCTCAAGATTTACAACATTATATGCGTGTCTTAAATGCCGATTACATTAATGATTGCGTTACATCACATTACATTTTTGATTGGGTTTACTAATGTGTTATATGATTGGGTTTACTACCGTTTTTTAAAAACTATTTTCCCTAAAAAGATGTTCTTTCTCTTTTTTCCGCGAGGACGCGGAGTTCTTTTTTCATGGAAGAGTGGTATGTTAGGCCCACAAGTAATTACAATAATTATATTAATTCAAATAATTCATTAGTTCATGCATTATTCATTTGGTCTGGGTAGCTACTTGCGCGTCCATGTTTGTCATAGCTACCCAGGCCCTTTATATTGCGTTGCCTCTCTCTCAACTCTTTCTTGATTCTTGACTCCCGATTCTCGATTCTCGACTCGCACTCGAAGAAGATCTGCCGCTAGACCTGATTCGCTACGTTGCTCTCCTGTTGTACTCAACAATACTGTAAAAGCAGAAATTTTCGGTGTGCAATATTTTCGGAATTCGCCATAATCGGCGGTTCTGTGTAGGGAAATTTTCGCTAAAACCCGTTTTCCAAGTAAGTGTACTAGTACGACATGTATACAGAACCTGTTCTACCGAAATTTTGGGACGTTTTACTTTCTGTAAAATTGTCAGCACCGAAGTTACCGCAAATAAAACACATCACGGAAAAAACAGCTTTAACGATACACAGTACACGTGGTGTAGTGGTTATGAACAGTGTTTAGTCATCACGTGACCTGATAAGACTAGTGGTTATGAACAGTGTTTAGTCGTAACGTGTCCTGATAAGACTAGTGGTTATGAACAGTGTTTAGTCGTAACGTGTCCTGATAAGACTAGTGGTTATGAACAGTGTTTAGTCATAACGTGTCCTGATAAGACTAGTGGTTATGAACAGTGTTTAGTCATAACGTGTCCTGATAAGACTAGTGGTTATGAACAGTGTTTAGTCATCACGTGTCCTGATAAGACTAGTGGTTATGAACAGTGTTTAGTCGTAACGTGTCCTGATAAGACTAGTGGTTATGAACAGTGTTTAGTCGTAACGTGTCCTGATAAGACAAGTGGTTATGAACAGTGTTTAGTCATAACGTGTCCTGATAAGACTAGTGGTTATGAACAGTGTTTAGTCGTAACGTGTCCTGATAAGACTAGTGGTTATGAACAGTGTTTAGTCGTAACGTGTCCTGATAAGACTAGTGGTTATGAACAGTGTTTAGTCGTAACGTGTCCTGATAAGACTAGTGGTTATGAACAGTGTTTAGTCGTAACGTGTCCTGATAAGACTAGTGGTTATGAACAGTGTTTAGTCGTAACGTGTCCTGATAAGACTAGTGGTTATGAACAGTGTTTAGTCGTAACGTGTCCTGATAAGACTAGTGGTTATGAACAGTGTTTAGTCGTAACGTGTCCTGATAAGACTAGTGGTTATGAACAGTGTTTAGTCGTAACGTGTCCTGATAAGACTAGTGGTTATGAACAGTGTTTAGTCGTAACGTGTCCTGATAAGACTAGTGGTTATGAACAGTGTTTAGTCGTAACGTGTCCTGATAAGACTAGTGGTTATGAACAGTGTTTAGTCGTAACGTGTCCTGATAAGACTAGTGGTTATGAACAGTGTTTAGTCGTAACGTGTCCTGATAAGATTAGTGGTTATGAACAGTGTTTAGTCGTAACGTGTCCTGATAAGACTAGTGGTTATGAACAGTGTTTAGTCGTAACGTGTCCTGATAAGACTAGTGGTTATGAACAGTGTTTAGTCGTAACGTGTCCTGATAAGACTAGTGGTTATGAACAGTGTTTAGTCGTAACGTGTCCTGATAAGACTAGTGGTTATGAACAGTGTTTAGTCGTAACGTGTCCTGATAAGACTAGTGGTTATGAACAGTGTTTAGTCGTAACGTGTCCTGATAAGACTAGTGGTTATGAACAGTGTTTAGTCGTAACGTGTCCTGATAAGACTAGTCATACTGTCATACAGGGTTTAACACAAGACCAGTCAGTACAATAAATCCCAGTGTTTACCTAAAATACGACCAGGTTTACTGAAGTATACGCTAGAGTTTGCTTGTGTATGGTCTTTTGCACACAGGACATCATAGCGATAGCAAGGAAGTGCCTTGGAATGACACTACACATGCAATTGCAACTCCCAAAACCTATTTGGGGCTGAACGGTTAATATTGAGACAAAGCCATGTCGAGCCATCAAGATGCCGTCTCCGGGATTGAGGCTGAGGTCACTAAGCATCGTGCAACTAACAAACCTCCAAGGCGCATGCGCGAACACACACGCACATTACACACACACAGCACACAAACATGCACGCACACACACACACACACACACACACACACACACACGTTCACACACACACACACACACACACACACGTTCACACACACACATGTACATGTACAACTCCAGGTAGCCGTAATCTCGTACTCTCCTGTAAACCGCCTAGATTCAGTTCAAACTTGAACCTAGCATAGTCTGAGAGCAGAAAGAGTATTTGGAATATCTGAGAGTTTAAATTTTACCAGCAATAATCTTTCCAGATACAACACATCAAAGCTGAGGTAACAGCAACATTGTCACGTGTACAGAAACAAGAAAAAGCCAGAAACAAATACAAAGAATGGCACGGTCAATTGTACACGATTGTCAGCCAGCGCTGCATACTAAGAAAATTAGCTAGAGGGAAAACAGTTTCTAACAACTAGTAAAACTGGCTAAGTTCACAGTGCAGACTGGTGGAGGACAACCATCAGCTATGATGTAATTAATTTGTTTACCAGAAGACAACGACAATGAAAATTATTCACGAAATTTCCTTGTATTTGTAAAGAGCATGGCGAATAGAATGTATGGAACACATCCATCAGATATTGCGAGAACCAAGAAGCAAATTATCAACGAGAAGTCCGTTTACTAATTTCCTAAAATGCCATGC